CACCTGTAGTAATATAGGTGGTCTTCTGTTTTGATACCAATTAACAACAATTAAAGGGAAATAACTCAGTAAAAACATACATCCAATAAGAACTTGACTATGTTAAAGAAGCTGAAAAAATCATCAAACAAAATGATAAAATTCTATTACAGTTTGGATCTGTACCAATATCTGTACCAATATTTATTTTCTTTCCAAGAAAAGTTTACCATAAACAATTAAAGGGAAGTAACTCATCAAAATTGGGTATTTAATACTACAGTCATCAGCCATGATCAACATTATCACATGATAATATACTAAGTAATTGAAAAATCAAACTAATCAAAGTGACAAATTTTACACAATGCTTCCTTACATGACACCAGAGTTCATTGGTTTGTTTCATCACAGTTTAAATAATTGACTACATAAAGGGACATAACTCAATACAGACTCCTTAAAAGCTACATAATGTTAATGCTTCTAGTAAAGTTTCATAAAAATCTGGTCAATTATTTTAAAAACTGTCATCTGGAATTTGTCTTGTAGGTAAAATGTTGACAAACTCACAAACAGGCAGATAGACAGAAGGGAAAGGGGAGGAGGGGGTGGGGGTGAATTGTATGCCTTCATCTATTAAATGAACATTTATCAACATTTGATAGCCAATCAATTGTGTGCAATATACATAAATGTTTATGTAATAAAATATACATAAGAAATACAATATATTTACATATTTATATAATAAAACATACATAAGAAATACAAGGAAGGAGACTGATGCTGTTACTTCCATTAATATTGTAGCTTGTATGTAACAGTGGGCAGCTGCCAATTTTCCCCAGTAAACAACTTGATTATAGGTAAGATATAAAACACCTTGAGCAATGTCATAGACTTTTACCTGGTTTACACACATATATGCTGTGTTAACACAAGCTATATCATTAAACATAATATGCCAAATTGTGTGTTGAATTACTCCTTGTGTCTGGAGCAAAAATACTTATTTTTAGTTACAGTTTAATCTGTCATTAAAATATGATCATTACTTAAGACTTCAAACTACAGAATGTACAAGATGCTTAAACATCCTGTATGTTGTAATTAAGGATATTACAACACTTTAGTAAAATTTTATGTATGCATATAAATTAGTGAAAATATATTGACTTGCCAAAGCCTGATTCTGCGATATTTACGTTCTTGGTTAGAATCTCGCTTTTACGCAAGATATTGCCCCGACACAAAATAGCACAATATCTCGTCGCGTAGTACAATTAGTTGGACTAGTATATAATTATTCTTCTAAAACAATTTCCAAACATCCAAGAATAAGTTAAATATGTACTGCAAAATTAATGTTTATACCCATTACAAGTTATTATTAGAATATATGCATTCATTTCTTATTGAAAAATTCAGCTTAAGACTTCATCAAACAGTGATTTTTTCACTGTATTTTACAGCCGAATAATGGCTGTTTCCCCTAGCCCAAAATAGATATATTTTCCCATAAAAATGCTAATATTTTCCCCTTAAATGCCTTGTGCTCTTCCTTACCAGAAACATGACTCAACAGCATCTGACTTATATCATCTAAAAGACAGAAATCTGTCCCTTTATATAGCCTCTGCTATGTACAATGCATGTTATATTGAATTGATATCAATTTTTTTCATAAAATGTGTGGGTAAATTCCATTTTCAGTAGTAGGAATTTGATTTCAGGTTTTCCCCCTTTTATGATTTATCATGCTATATTTTCCCCTTCGGAAAGCCACAGGTAGTTTTGAAAATTGGAAAAAAAATCACTGTCAAAAAATAGGTATTTATATAACCACTACCAATATTTTATCTTTATCCAAGGGAAGGAACTCCAAAAAACCAAGTCTAAATATGTTAGCATGAGTAGTGTGCCTTGACATTCACTCTCGACATCAACTAGATAGGCCAATATGACTTTGGCCTAAAATCATGCGTTTCAATATGAAATATGTCATATGCTTCATATATAAAACCACAGTATCACCAGTATATCTTATCTATAATTTAGGGATTGTTCATAAAGGAGGAAGTGGTTTTTTTTATTTTATGTCCTTCAAGTTCAGATGAAAATATTATCAGTCATCTAAACTATAAACATGTATATCATGAATCAAAAATTCATAATTGAAATTGACTCAAGGTTAATTTTGACTCTAACCTGAAATTTCTTAATGGTTTTGCCCATCTTTGAAAATGAAACAGTTCAATGAAAGGTTAAGGTAATTAATAAGTGAGCTAACAACAGTACAGAGCCTTTATTTTATTATGGAGGGTGATTACATCAACACCATCAAAATATTTTAATAAACCTTTGGGCCATGCTCACATAATAGAGATCAGCAACATTCTCACATATAAATGATATTAGAGAGCAGAAACGATTTAAACAAGAATTTGTAACAGAGTTACAAACGTCCCCCCGCCTCAGGGAACTTTTATATGAAGCATAAAACTGTGCCATGTTATTTCAAAAGATTGAGGTATGGATCTCAGGACTTTCAGTCCAAAATTATGATCAATGCTAGATCTGCAACTGCAACAATAAATTTATTAAAGAAATAAAATGAAACATGGAAATTAAAAATCTATCATGTTAAGCTAAGTGTGACCTTGACATTGGAGGTAGGGGTGCAGGTGTTGTGCATGACATTATCGTCTAAATATTGTAACTATTTGTGCCAAGTATTTTCAAAATACCTTGAACTATGAAGAAGTTCTGGATCGGACACAAAAAATACCCTATAACAGACTATGTTAATTTTTGACCTCTAAGTGTGACCTTGACCTTGGAGGTAGGGATGCAGGTGTGGCGCATGACACATCGTCTTATTATAGTGACTATTTGTGCCAAGTATTTTCAAAATCCTTTGATCTATGAACAAGTTATGGACTAGACACAAAATAAACCTTATAACAGACTATGTTAATCTTTGACTTCCAAGTGGGACCTTGACCTTGGAGGTAGGTGCCTGGTTTTGCCCACCACACATCATCTTGTGGCAAGTATTTACAAAATCCCTTCAAAGATAAGAAAGTTATGGACCGGACACGACATGTTGCGCATGACACATTGTCTTATTATAACAAAAATTTGTGCCAAGTTATTTCGAATTCCTTTGAAAAATGACAAAGTTATGGACCAGACACGAAAGTGTGACAGACAGAAGGACTGACAGACGTACGGACAGACAGACAGACGGACGGAGCCTATTTCTATATCCCCCTTTTTTCTTCGAAAAGGAGGGGGACAATAAAATCTTTTCTGATTTACTGTTCATGCAGTGTCCAGAGAGACCAAATTTTAATAACTGAGTAAGAAAGAACTCATCATAGAGAACATATAAGAGAAAAAGAAAGAATACGTAAGTCTTTTATAGGTTGGGTTTTAAGTAACACAGATTCTCAGAAACAAACAGTGGTAAGTGGCAAGTCAGCAACCTTAACCTCTCAGCCATGTACACATATGTAAATAAACATGAACACACATGTGTATATGAATACATGTAAAGATAACATGTGAATAAGACAGAACATGTATGTGTATAAGAAAGAACACATATGTGAATAAAAGAGAACACATATGTGGATAACAAAGAATTTTGATATAAATTGTTTGTCACCATACAGATCATTATCTAGCAACAAGGTCACAAAAGCTTTCGACAGAGATATGGGCATTTTAGATATGCATATAGGAGATATGCTCTGAGCAATATCCGGAAAATAGCTGGATATTTTATCATCTCTAGTGACCTTGACCTTACAAATTTGTGCCAAGTTATATTGAAATCCCCTTGTGGATGCAGAAGTTTTGCTCCAGATAAGTGATTTTCAATAACCTCTAAGTGTGACCTTGACCTTTGACCAAGAGATGTACTTCATGTGAGCAACACGGCTTGCTTCTCATACTAGTGAACATTTCTATTAAGTTTCATTTAAATTTCTCCATGCATGTAGGAGATGTTCCTGACAAAAATTGGATGCCACCAGCCTCTGGAAACTAAAATGCGACCTGTTTAAAAAACGGGCCTATAAAAATGAATCTTGTCTGGTGCATGAAACCAACACTTACCCTAAAACACAAAGTCAAACAACATCAAGACTGAGTAACACAAAATACTTAAACACCTCCTATATTTCCCAGAGATTTGAGAATGTTCCAAAATAACAACTATCAGTTAAACAAAGGTATTAATTACCTATTGATTACAAAAAAGATCAAGGAATGATAATAAAAGAGGAAGTTACTTTTTGAGGTTTCACCGCAACACTGACATATCCTGTTCTGTAATTACATTCAGTTAGATGTATATTGTGTTCACTTTATGTATTAATATTTGTTTGTCCCTGAAGACCATACCTTAACAGATGTAACATTTCTAATGTGTATGAATCATGGTTGTTTCAGGTATTTTGTTAAATTGTTCCCTGATTATCATAGATTTAAAGCAGTATGCCTTTAGATGAGCCAAAATATTTCAAGAAAATCAAACTTGAGAAAAACAATAATACACTAAGATCTAGAAGTATTCATCACCATATCTCTACTGTGTGACTAACTTAGTAAGGACTATTTTTGCATACTTAGACCACTTTTGGTAAATTATGTTGTAAGTCCCAATTACAATGTGTAAATGACTTCCTTTGTTCGCTTTCACAATATTTTACTTTTAAATAATTTTCATGAAATCTGGAGGCATGCTGCTGTAAGAGGTTTAATTATATATACGAAAAGTGAATATTTTAATAGTTTTTTTTTTATTTTTCTTCATTTTTCTTATGGTTGTCAAGCTAAAATTTCAAAATTTGAAAGGCATGACCTGTTTGGAAGAGTTGGAAGAGGGTATGAGGGGGGGGGGGGTGGTGTAACTGTAAAGTCATAAAGGTGACAAATACTGTCAATCTTCATCCACTAAGCTATACAGGCCCTTGTGATACAAGCCAAGATACAAAGAACAAACCAGTTACCTTGTGATTCTAGCAGGTGATCTCCTGGTGGTGACATCATCAATTATTGTGTTCCTGTCATAAGTTCTTGTTGTGATGTCATGACTTTTTGTGCTCGTGTCATGGGTTCTGGGACTTTTGTAACTGACACCAAATTCAAATGGAGGAGATACAGCCTCACTACCAGGTCTGTCTGTACCAAATTTACCTCGATCATAAAATCTGAAAATTTGAAACAATTTATTTGAAAACAGTTGTAACATCTATCTATAACAATCAATAACTGTCAAAATCTTTATTTAATTAGATAACAATAATGAAGCATACAAAGTAAAGAGAAGAAACTGTTTTTACAACTAGTCTGAACTAGATATCTTTTGTGAACATAGTTACATAATTATTTATTGATGTTCATTCTCTAAAGCTAAGTTGTATCATAGTTTGGGGACCTGTCTGTTGAAAATGTGTCACAGTTAAATCATATACCTATAATACACAGTGTGTTAATTGGAGTGCAGGTATTAGTTACCTGCACTCCACAGCATGCCCATTGATTGGCTCATTTTTGCTGGGGTTTACTTATTGTGACGACAGAGAAAGGGAAAGCGATAGAAATATATTCAGATGCTCGTCCATTGGTTAAATTTTTGGGGTGAGGGGGGGGGGGGGCTATGCACCCTCGTCTCTTGTTTTGATGCTCTTTCTATTACATAAAAAGAGTTTAACACTTAAACCTGCTGAATTTGTGTAATAGATTTTCCCAGTTTAAGATTTGAAACAGTTCATTTAAAGATTAAGGGATTTCCTTATCAAATACTAAAATTGAGCTACCAACAGAATATGGCATGGTCAGTCTACAGAGATTTTTCACCTTATTTAGCAGATACCTAAAAAAGGCTTCTTCCCTATCAAAATTTTCTGTAAAATCTGATGCAGTTTTCCTAAAATTCTTAACCTACACCACCTTCATTACTTCTCAAATTAAAAATTTTAGCAATAATTTTTTTCCAAAATCAAGAGGTTCAGGCCTCTTTGGAATCAAATGAGAAAGACCACAGGTCTGCATGGATGTGCAAGCTGGCCTGGCTCTATACTGGTGATTAAGGCTAATCACACACTGTTCAGGTAACAAATTATGCAAACAGGGAAGTTCAATATAAATATTTATCACATTCCCATGTCGATTTTGCAACTATAAAACGGTATTGCACCGCCATGCATATATTTTGACATGACGTCGTTTGAGCCATACATAGTGTAAAGACGCTCAAAAATGTTATCGTTTCACTATAGGCACGTCAATGAAGTATGATTCTTCTTTACTTTAGACAGTCTTTTTTTTTTTTATGTGATAAATAGAATATTATATATATGTTGGTTTGCATTACTGAATTTATTGAACTTGTTGAGTAAAACAATATTTTGATCACCTGAAAGGCTCGTATTTTTACAATTTTATTCAACTCGTTCAATTTATTCAGAAATGAACCTACACAGTAACACTCATTCAATATCCTCTATGTCATAGTTTATTGTGCACGTACCTTGGTGAGTCGTACGATTTGGTGGCCGTGTAGTCAGAGGTATTTCTGTTACTTATGTCATATCCTCGTGTATACTTGGACATACTATCACCATCGGAGAATATACCTCTGCTACTTAAAGTTGGCGATGAGACGTAAGATTCTCTTGGAAAGTCTGAAAAAGATGACATAAAAAGTATACTTCTGCAAATAATATAATCATTAAACAGATATGTTTTTTTTCCCCCAATTTTTTACCAAACTAAATGTTTTCACTTATTACTACCAATTAGAAAGGAAAGTTTTACTTTTAATATGTATCATTTTTTAGAGAATTTAAACTTTAACTTTCTTGAAATTCCTGATAACAACATTCCGCCTTTCTTTAAGTTTGAAACATAGTACATTCGGATGATTCCATATGTTTTGAACAAGAAGTTACATTGTTTACCCTTTTTTTATCAAAAATTGTTTTTACTGCATAAAATTTTTAATACATCTTAACACCTTTGGTACTCTTACAAACTGTATACCTTAAAATGGTACTTTCATAAATCATTTACTTCTGGTAATTTTACAAATCCAAATTTACTGTATTTTCACAAAACTTTTACTACTGTTCTTTAAAAATCCTTTCACAAATTCTTATTTGTTTACTTTCACAAATCCTTTACTAATGTACTTTAACAAATCCTTTATAAGTGTATAATGAACTTTCACAAACCCTTTTAAGTTAATTAGGTCACAAATCCCTTTCTAGTGAATGTTCACAAATCCTTTACTAGTGTACTTTCACATTACCATTATTAATGTACTTTCATAAATCAGTTATCAATGCACTTTCACAAATCCATTATCAATGCACTTTCACAAATCCTATATCAATGTACTTTCACAAATCCTTTACTAGAGCACTTTCACAAATCCTGTACAAGTGAACTTTCAAAAATCTATTACTAGTGAACTTTCACAAATCTATACTATGGTACTTTCACAAAATCTTTACTAGAGTACTTTCACATAATTATCCTTTATTAGGGCACATCCACAAATCCTATATTAATGCACTTTCACAAATCCTTTACTAGTACACTTTCACAAATCTTTACAAGATTTTTTCACAAATCCTTTACTGGTGTACTTTCACAAATTCTTTACTAGAATACTTTCACAAATCTTTACAAGAGTTTTTTCACAAATCCTTTACTGGTGTACTTTCACAAATCCTTCACTTGTACACTTTCACAAATCTTTACAAGATTTTTTTCACAAATCTTTTACTGGTGTACTTTCACAAATACTTTACTAGAATACTTTCACAAATCTATAAAATATTTCTTTTATTATTCTTAATGTTCTGCTATTTTACCAAAACATATTTTATTCCAAGTACACAGAACTTTATAATTCCTTTGTATTTTTTTCAACAGTATTCTATAGAAAAAGTGTTGCTCAATAGTTTTTTCAAATATGAATATCCTTATATAATAGCTGGGTTCTGTATTTTTCTCCAAATATCTTATAATTCCACTCATATCAGTGTGTTTTCACTCACCTGGATTAACCATCAATAAATTGTATACATTCCTGACTTATTCCATCAAACTAGAGGCTATTTTCACTTACCTTAATGGCCAGCAGTTTTATAACATAGATTAAAATCACACCATGTGTATGAAACTCTAAATTCCAGAAGAAATATCATGGAAAACAGCAATAACAAATTATTCAAACCTTGGTGTTTTTCAGTCAGTTGAGTTCATTAGGTAATCTTTAACAGGCATATCTATAGCATTTCTCATACAAAATGTATATCAATAATAGTTTAGAGAAAGTCAAAACCTATTTCTGCAAATGTGTTCCCTTTGCCTACTGTGTATACTGTATATTGGTATACCAGTAAATATCTGTTCAAAAGATAACTAAGCACCAGATGCAAGTGATCTTATCAAATCTATAAATGTTTCATCACTACCTGCAATGAGAGCTTACATTATGGCTTTTTATTACATATTTTACTCTTAGAATTTTACAAGAGGTTCAAAAGAGCCACAAAGAAACTACTTTTTATTTCTGTACTCTATCATTGGTATACAAAAGTCATAAATAACATTTTCTAGAGGTATTTTCAGTTCCATTATCAGCAGTGAAAAATCTTCATTACAGTTGTGTTCATTATTGTATGTTTTCAAGCTTAACACCTGGTTTTTACTTGTAATTTAAGAGTAAGAACTGACACCTTTTACTATGTGTTCCTTTCATATTTTAGAATATAAATCATTCAGCATATATTATACTGTCACTTAAACCATTTTTACAATAGTGTTTCCAGCACATACTGTCACTTAAACCATTTTTACTATAGTGTTCCCAGCACATACTGTCACTTAAATAAGTTTTACTTTAGTGTTCCCAGCACATACTGTCACTTAAATCATTTTTACTATGTGTTCCAAGCACATACTGTCACTTAAACCATTCTTACTGTGGTGTTCCCAGCACATACTGGCACTTAAACCATTCTTACTATAGTGTTCCCAGCACATACTGGCACTTAAATCATTCTTACTATAGTTTTCCCAGCACATACTGGCACTTAAATCATTCTAACTATAGTTTTCCCAGCACATACTGGCACATAAATCCTTCTTACTATAGTGTTCCCAGCACATACTGGCACTTAAATCATTCTTACCATAGTGTTCCCAGCACATACTGGCACTTAAATAAATCTTACTATAGTGTTTCCCAGCACATACTGGCACTTAAACCATTCTTACTATAGTTATAAATCTTACCATAGTGTTCCCAGCACATACTGGCACTTAAATAAATCTTACTATAGTGTTCCCAGCACATACTGGCACTTAAACCATTCTTACTATAGTGTTCCAAGCACATACTGACACTTAAATAAATCTTTACTATTAGTGTTCCCAGCACATACTGGCACTTAAATCATTCTTACTATAGTGTTCCCAGCACATACTGGCACTTAAATAAAATCTTACTATAGTGTTCCCAGCACATACTGGCACTTTAACCATTCTTACTATAGTGTTCCCAGCACATACTGACACTTAAATAAATCTTACTATAGTGTTCCCAGCACATACTGACACTTAAATAAATCATACTATAGTGTTCCCAGCACATACTGGCACTTAAACCATTCTTACTATAGTGTTCCCAGAACATACTGGCCCTAAAATAATTCTTACTATAGTGTTCCCAGCACATACTGCGACTTAAACTATTCCTACTGTATTGTTCCCAGTGCCTACTGGCATCTAAATCATTCTTACTATAGCCCATCAATGTAGTGGGTAACTAGAACTGTGTCCAAAGGACACGGATGCCCCCATACGCCACTGTTCTGTCAATCTTATGACTCTAGGTCAAATATTTTTTGGACTACATGTGCCACAAGTTGAAAACTAAAAATCAACAAAGGGCCATAATTCTTTAAATTTGGTCGCATCAAAAATTCCTACCTTTACTACCATCTACACATTAAGGTTGTTAATCCCTGGAAGTTTAAGCAAAATCTGCCATGCGGTTTAAGAGGAGTTGCGTTCACAAAATTTCTACATAGTATATAATGAAAAAATCAACAAAGGGCCATAATTCTGTTAAATTGTATGCAGCAAAAATTCCTTCCTTAACTGCCATCTACACATAAAGGTTGTTCATCCTTGGAAGTTTAAGCAAAATCTGCCATCCTGTTTAAGAGGAGTTGCATTCACAAAATTTCTACATAGTATATAGTAAAAAAATCAACAAAGGGCCATAATTCTGTAAAATTTGGTCGCAGCAAAATTCCTTCCTTTACTGCCATCTTCACCTTAAGGTTGTTCATCCCTGTAAGTTTAAGCAAAATCTGCCATGCGGTTTAAGAGGAGTTGCGTTCACAAAATTTCTACATAGTATATAGTGAAAAAATCAACAAAGGGCCATAATTCTGTTAATTTGGTCGCAGCAAAAATTCCTTCCTTTACTGCCATCTACACATTAAGGTTGTTCATCCCTGTAAGTTTAAGCAAAATCTGCCATGCGGTTTAAGAGGTCAGTTGCGTTCACAAAATTTCTACATAGTATCTAGTGAAAAAATCAACAAAGGGCCATAATTCTGTTAAAAATTTGGTCGCAGCGAAAATTCCTTCCTTTACTACCATCTACACATTAAGGTTGTTCATCCCTGTAAGTTTAAGCAAAATCTGCCATCCGGTTTAAGAGGAGTTGCGTTCACAAGATTTCGGGACGTACGGACAGACGGACGGACAGACGGACGGACAGGTGCAATGCTATATGCTCCCACTCTGTGGGAGCATAAAAATTGAGAGATATAGATTTTTTTTAGCTTACGAAAGATCCGAGGTTCTCCTCAGGTGCCCACTCCTGCCAGAGCATGAAGGGACACAGGTGGTCTTCCTATACCAGTGAAGAAGGAAAGTCGACATACAGTCTAACTTGCCCATGCAAACACGTACGTGTATTAAGCGACTTTTGTCTTATGCGACCACTTTAATTTAATTTTTATTTTTTTTATCATGCTTTGTCTTAAGAGACCGTTTCATTAAGCGACCATTTTTGGTGTTTCCCTTGCGCCGTCTCTTAATACACTGTTGACTGAATGTCTGTAACAGTGTTGGTGTGACTGAAAATCCAACAAAACAAACAAATAATATCCATAGAGGTATAATCAAAGAAACAGGAGTATAATCAGATAACATGCATACCTAACAAGGGTCAGTGAATGGGGACTTAAAATATTCCATATTTTTTTCATTACACCCTTCCTAACAAAACAAATGTCATTTCTTAAGAATAATATGTTCAGAAATATAACTTTAGCAAAAGGTGTAGAGACATTTGAGCTATTTGCTGTTTTTCTGCTGCATGCAAAGATGTGCATAGAAATGAGGAAAGCAGGTTGCTTAATAATTTTACAACCACCCACACATTCTTCTACAACCAGACAATTTATCCTTTCAAACAATTATGCATGAACAGTAGCTGGTCCAATATGGAGAACATTATTCTCTAATTCACTGATGACTTTACAGTATGATCTATCTTTTCACAATCAAACATGCCAAGAATTCCTAAAATATATTTTCATAATAAATCAAAGACATCTTTTTGTTTTTCATTATCAATTTTTCCAATGTTACAAGGATGATAGATACAAAATACTTGTTTATCAGCAAGATCTGTTCCATATGGCTGCAGAGTTCATCAAGGTAGTTGAGAGGCTTATTAAACATATAGTGGAAATAACAAACTATAAACATTGAGCTTTTAATGAGTGGGATCACTCAATGGGAGAAAGTATGTTTTGCAGAGATGAGTTCCAGGTAATTTTAATTACATATCAATACATTAAGACTCAACACCACCACACTAGTCTGTTTATTTATTCACTTGTTTGACTGATTTTACAGAGCACCAGTGAAAGTCAAGACGGCAAAACAAGAAAGATGATTTTGGCTCACTTTGGTGATACAAAGGGGTCAAAGCCACCTCACCTGATGGAGCTACATGTATGAGTTTCATAGACTCCAGTTATCCCAACCCATTAAGTTGCCTCTTACAATCATGCAGGGTTGAAAGGTGGCTGCAAATTTCTTTTGCCTCAACCATTGAAGACAACCCCTCAGCTACAAGGGGCACTATATTAATATTTTGTAACGTTACTGTATTAGAATAATGTATTTGTATGTAGTATTCAATTATAAGACGCACTCCCTACTCTATACTTTAAATTTGAGTTATAAAAATGCGTCTTATAATTGAAAATAGACTTTACAGAACTGATATCAGGTACCATTATACAAGACATTACATTCAAATACAAGAATTTGTAACAGAGTTACCAACGTCCCCCGCCTCGGGAGTTTTCTATGAAGCATAAAATTGTGCTATTTCAAAAGATTGAGGTATGGATCTCAGGACATTCAGTCAAAAATTATGATTAATGCTAGATCTGCAAATGTAACAATAAATTTGTTAAAGAAATAAAATGAAACATGGAATTTAAAAATTTATAAGTGTGACCTTGACCTTGGAGGTAGGAGAGCAGGTGTTGTGCATGACATAATGTCTTATTATTGAGACTATTTGTGCCAAGTATTTTCAAAATCCCTTGAACTATGAAGAAGTTATAGATTGGACACAAAATATACCATATAACAGACTATGTAAATCTTTGACCTCTAAGTGTGACCTTGACCTTGGAGGTAGGGACACAGATGTTACGCATGACATATCATCTAATCATTGTGACTATTTGTGCAAAGTATTTTCAAAATCCCTTAATCTATGAAGAAGTAATTATATGGACGGGACAAAAAATATACCAAATAACAGACGCTGTTTACCTTTGACCTCTAAGTGTGACCTTGACCTTAAGAGGTAGGGGTGCAGGTGTTGTACCTGACATATCGGCTTATTATTGTGACTATTTGTGCCAAGTTATTCCAAAATCCCTTGAACTATGAAGAAGTTCTAGATTCGACACAAAATATATCCTATAACAGACTATGTTAATTTTTGACCTCTAAGTGTGACCTTGACCTTGAAGGTAGGGATGCAGGTGTTGCGCATGACACATCCTCTTATTATAGTGACTATTTGTGCGAAGTATTTTCAAAATCCTTTGATCTATGAAAAAGTTATAGACCTGACACAAAATATACCCTGTAACAGACTATGTAAGTATTTGACCTCCAAGTGTGACCTTGACCTTGGAGGTAGGTGACCGGTTTTTGCGCATGACACATCATCTGATTATTGTGAACAATTATAGCAAGTATTTACAAAAGTCCTTCATAGATAAGAAAGTTATGGACTGGACACGACATATACCCTCAAATAGACAATGTTGACCTTGAATGAGCAAGTACGACCTTGACCCTGAAGGTACGGGTCTGGTTGTTGCGCATGACACATTGTCTTATTATAACAAACATTTGTGCCAAGTTATCTCAAATTCCTTTGATAAATGACAAAGTTATGGACCGGACACGAAATATACCCTGTAACAGACTATGTTAATATTAGACCTCCAAGTGTGACCTTGACCTTGAAGGTAGGTGACTGGTTTTTGCGCATGACACATCGTCTGATTATTTTGAACAATTATAGCAATTATTTACAAAAGTCCTTCATAGATAAGAAAGTTATGGACTGGACACGACATTTACCCTCAAATAGACAATGTTAACCTTGAATGAGCAAGTACGACCTTGACCCTGAAGGTACGGGTCTGGTTGTTGCGCATGACACATCCTCTTATTATAACAAACATTTGTGCCAAGTAATTTTAAATTCCTTTGATAAATGACAAAGTTATGGACCGGACACGAAATATACCCTGTAACAGACTATGTTAATATTTGACCTCCAAGTGTGACCTTGACCTTGAAGGTAGGTGACTGGTTTTTGCGCATGACACATCATCTGATTATTGTGAACAATTATGGCAAGTATTTACAAAATCCCTTCATAGATAAGAAAGTTATGGACCGGACACGACATATACCCTCAAATAGGCAATGTTGACCTTGAATGAGCAAGTGTGACCTTGACCCTGGAGGTAGGGGTCTGGTTGTTGCGCATGACACATCGTCTTATTATAATAAACATTTGTGCCAAGTTATTTCAAATTCCTTTCATTTATGACAAAGTTATGGACCGGACACGAAAGTGTGACGGACGGACAGACAGACAGACGGACGGACAGACGGACGGACAGACGGAAGGAGCCTATTTCTATATCCCCCTTTTTTCTTCGAAAAGGCGGGGGACAATTAAGTGATAATACAATGATTGTACATTGTATATGATAAAGATCTAGAAGCATAATAAGTCTATTCATCTTTATTAAGAACAACACTGTTCTGAGGAAAAATTGAAGTTCTATCTGGGTCATTACTTACAGTTGTTCATTGTATATAATGGCTGAAAGCCTTTATCTTACAATATTCTAAAGATCATCATATAAATATATTTTTGGTAAACATAACAATTCCAAGGCAATGCTCTCAACTTAACAAAACAAGAGTCTAATAGTTCATGCCAGCAGAACTTTAATGATAAAACAATTATGTAGTTAATAACTTTCGAAACTAAAAGGTGCTTCTTGAACAAATCATGGACCAGTTAATTCTATAACACTTCCCCCTACCCTTGGTATAGTGGGAGATCAATTACCCTTGGTTTAGTGGGGGAACAATTACCCTTGGTATAGTGGGGGATCAATTACCCTTGGTATAATGGGGGAATCACACAAGTTTTGTTGTTATTCGTTGTTGTTGTTGTTTTTTTCATGCCAAATTTGGGCAGAAATAACGTTCAACTTGCTGTGTTTTATAGTGATACTGCCATGAGGAACAAAGATTAACAGAGATTAAAAAATCCAAAATGTCTTGAAGTCTCAAGCTATTCCCCCTGGTTAGGGTTAAATGTAGATATAACTGACTGGTGTCATCTGAATGAACAATTCCAATTCATCAACTTATTTGGTAATGTACTGATCCTCTCTATACAGTTGAATCTTCAGTCATGTCTAAGAATAGTTTCATTGTCTTGATGTATTCTTGAATTTCTTCTCCACTCCTTTATGAAATATTCCATTAATGAATCCATCTAATATGATCTTTTTAAACACACATTTGTTTCATGTTCCATCACAGTTCTTTAACTAAAATTCCATATTGCTCCATGAAAGAATTTATCAACACAAGTATGGCAGTTTTACTTGTAACACTTGTATAATATCATTTAATGTTCTTTCATTTTAAATGTTCCATAATTATGTTCTAATCCTTCATTATGGAAATTTTATGATCACCCTTCATATGATCAGTTTTTCTAACCTTAATATTCCATCAGGAATCTATCTATCTGCAGAACCTTGATTCAAGGTAACAGTCACTTATTGTTGTTTACTTCATCAGTATGTTTTATATCCAATTGCATTCATTTCAGCAATATTGAGAGTAGGATCTTCTTTAGATTCACAACTACGAACAATTTTTGTTTGGTTCAGTTTCATTTAATATGTTATATGCATATATACATTGTGTTAAAGACATGAGGTGCTTTCCAGCTTTAACTTCATAATGAACTACGAGCCTAAAACCTGGGGTAGAACTACCAACCTTTAACAATTTAACCAAAAATAACAGTACACTGAACTGGTATGTGGCCCAGCTACCGAGTCACATTGAACGCCCTGTGAACCATCTTAACCCTAAACATGCTGAATATTTTAAATAGACTTGTCCGACTTCAATTTTTGGCACTGTCCATTATCAATTTTAGGTAAATCAATTTGAATATTTAAAGTTTGTCTGCCAACAGTATAGAGCCTGGTCAGACTGCACGAAAGTGCAGGCAGGCCTGGCTCTATACTGGTGGCAAAAGCATAATGCTTCGGTTCTAGCACATGAAAGGTTAAATTCATTGATTTAGATTTTTTATTTAATCCGTTTCCTTACCTGAGAATCCATGACTAGATCTGTAGTGAGGGGTATGGTCACTATAAGTGGGTGTATAACTTGATGGATCAGTATTTCCTGTGTATCGAATATCACCAAAGTTTCTTTGTCGACCTGAAATATACAAATTTAAAAGAATACTTAATAAACAATAATCAAAATCATTGATTCAAAGTCTTTTCCCATTTTTTTCTTTAAACAATCATTGTCATATCTGCATGGGACTTAAACTTCTGGGAAGGCCCACCATTTCCGGACAGCCGAATGCCATGGCAATGTGAGATGTATTGATCTTTTGCACCTTTTCAAAACTCCAGCAATTTTGGCTAGGTTGTTCAAGTACAATCAGTTGGTTAGGCTCATACTTTACACTGCCCTAAAGCGGACAGGGAGGAGGGAGGGGGTGAGTTTGGACATGGCTAAAATTAATTGGTGCTCGGTATACATTGTACATGTAATAATAAAGATAAATGTTATGTTACAACCAAATTTATAAAGCATTTGTAACACATATTATAAGTTTATGTCCATTTATACATTGTGTCACATTTCAAAAAGTAAAGTTTTCTTAGTGCACTCAATTATAATAATGGCAGTACAAGAAACATGACTGAATAAAAAACATGGCCTTAATTAGATATCAACATATCATAGAGTAGCTTCATTCCTTTCAATAATTATGCACATTCATTTATTTCAGCTGGAAGATTTTCACAGATTCTTTATTGCTGTATAGTCTACAAAAACCTGTCTGGATTCAATCACAGGTTCAACTATGTTAAACATCTTCAACTCTATAAATCACCATTGGAAATTATGTCTGGGAGAAAACATTATCTCAGTCTCTGGGGAGAAGTAAGTATTTCCTTTACTTTTTTTTTAATGATGTTAATCGTCTCAATGAAAAGGTGTCGGAATGATGAAATTCTCATTTAGAATTTAAAACCTGTTTTATGTCAGCTGGTTTTAAAATCATACAGGTTTGTATATAGTGAGGAATTGCAGGAACAATTCAAATTATTATCATTGTCAGATTTGGAAGGTGAGGTCACAGTATAAAGACAGCTTTAGATCAGAGAGAAACAGGAGCTGTCAGGTTAGCTCAATAGGTAGAGCGTTGGACTGTGAATCAGGCAACCCAGGTTTGATTCCCGGACGGCGCAGGTCACTTTCGTTGTGATTGATCATGAAATCTTTTCTATGGTTATTCGCACTGTACCACTGCTTTGCTATGTACAGAAGTTTCATTTCCTTGCTAAAGTAAAGGCAACTGGTACTGGTAAACTGCCTGACAGCCTGCCCAGGACCGATGTTGTGGCCAAACTGGGCTTACTGTCCTGATCCACAGTGTAAACTACCAACACCACCACCAACACTGCACTTATTGTTATCTATAACTTTCTAAAATCTAAAATTCAAATGGAAGTGTCAAATCTGTAATGCCAAGCAAATTTACAAATACATTTATATGAAATTCAGTGTGTCAGAGGCAAGTCGTTGTTTCGTTAAGCAAAAAACTTTACACTTATTGCTCAGTACTGGTTGGTCCCAGGAACAGATTCGAAAATGTGTCTTTAAGCTTCTGGCTTCCTACACAATTGAACTAAAATAAACTCTGTATAAACCAAGAAACGATCTTGTTCCACCAAAGATACAATAAGAAGTGCATAATGTGCATATACACTGCCTATAGGAAGCTAATCCAATGTTAGATCATACAGACGGATTGTTAAACTTGGCAAAATTCTAAGTTGCCTGCAGGTATATTACTTACATACAAATAATACATAGAAGATATTTTAGTTTTTTCTATAAAAACAGTATTTATTTTCATAGAGTAGTGGTATGAAAGTAAATATTTCATGAGTGAAAATGGCAGTAGCCAAAAGTGAAATATGATAATTTTCATACCTCAAAATGAAAATAAATCCTGTATTTGTAGAAAAAAAACTTGAATTTTCTGTTTATGATATATATTTTTCCCTTTTTTGACATAAGAATTTGAAAGATTTTACCTTAAATTTTGTATATAGGCTGAATATAGCAGAAAGTAATCCAACAAGACACTAGTGAAAATACAGAATAATATGTTTCACTGCAGTGAAAAATAAAAATTTATAGTAAGAATACGGAAAATGAAAATACGTAATTCATTTCATCAATATTTCCCATTATATTTCATTTATAAGTATCTAATGTCTTTTATATCTCAACCAAAACATACAGGAGTTCCTTAAAGACACAAAATCAACATTTAAAAGTTCAGAGTAAAATCTGAAAACTACAGTCATAAGTTATACTATATATGTTTATTGACATTGCTATATGATATGAATATATAATATAGCATAGCATTGTAATCTTGAATAAATATTTCTTCAAATTTTGTACAGGATTTATTTGACAACCACTTGAAATCTCCAATATGATAGATGACATTTCAATTTCCCTATGTCTATCAATATGTGCATTTGAGCCGTGTCATGACAAAACCAACATAATGGGTTTGTGACCAGCATGGATCCAGACCAGCCTGCGCATCCGCACAGTCTGATCAGGATCCATGCTGTTCGCTATCAGTTTCTCTACTTGTTATAGGGTCTGTAAGCGAACAGCATGGATCCTGATCAGACTGCGCGGACGCGCAGGCTGGTCTGGATCCATGCTGGTCGCAAACGCACTATGTTGGTTTTGTCATGACGCGGCTCATTTATTCTGTTTAAACTTTAGACCGTGCTCGTGGTGACTACCTCATCAATCACAATTTAAGTGCAGACCTGAAGATAATGGTCTGCACTCTGCAATATTTACAAATTTAGTCTGTGAATACCAGTATTTTGAAATTTTCCCCCTGAAAATTATGAATGGTTTTGTCAAGATTGAAGGTTGGACAAGTTCGTATAATAATATTTAGGGGTGGTATTTGATAATTATATTCTATATCTTGTTTATATTATTCTATATTTCTTCCAATAACAAACAAGAGCACCGCTAGGCGGAGCATAATATGCCCGAAAGTGTTTTTTTTCTTTACTAAGGATGAAGCATTTGTAAGACATTACATAAAAATTCAATAAAGTATTACCTCCTTCAAATAGCAATCCTCCTATAAAGTTTGAATATTGTGGGCCAAATGGAACTTCAGTTATGCCCTGGAAACTGTTTTTAGTTTTGAGATAATAGCTACCTTGAAATTTGACCGTGTGACCCCAAAATGGATAGGGGTGTTCTACCCAATATGGACAATCATCCTATGAAGTTTCAACACTATGGGCCAAATAGAAATTAAGTTATGTTCTTGAAACTGTTTTCAGTTTTAAAGTCATAGTGACCTTGACCTTTGACATTGTGACCCCAAAATCAATAGGGGTCTTCTACCCAGTATGGACAATCATCCTATGAAGTATGAATATTGTGGGGCAAATAGATCTTAAGTTATACCCTAGGAAACTGTTTACAGTTTTAAGGTAATAGTGACCTTGACCTTTGACCTTGTGACCTTAAAATCAATAGGGGTCTTCTACCCAATATGGACAATCATCCTGTGAAATTTGAATACTGTGGGCCACATGGACCTTAAGTTATACTCCAGAAACTGTTTTCATTTTTAAAGTAATAATGACCTTGACCTTGTGACCCAAAAATCAATAGGGGTCTTTTACCTAATGTGGACTGTAGGATAACACGGTGTTCAATAACTGTAGGAACTATACTGTTCAATAACTGTAAGAACACAGTGTAGATTTACGTGGGTGGCTGAGAGAGAACACGTTAATACGGGTGTTCACTTCAACTGTTCACCAAATTACAAAGACACTACGACACAGTCGTAATGGGCAGCTTTCACTAAGTTTGGGCAACAAAAAGATGCAATTCACGCGCTATAATTTTCCACTTTTATTCCAGAAACAACACATAGTCCCTAAGGAGTATATAGTGTATCTAACGTATATAGCGTATATAGCGTATATAGCGTATATAACGTATATAGCGTATACAGCGTATATAGCGGTTATCTGAAAGTTAAACAGTTATACTTCCATTAATAACAATTAAAACAACATACAAAGAATGCATACATACTTACAAATAAACAAGTCACATAATTATATAATTCATCCTTAACAAATACTGTGGGAATCCTGCTGCTAGTTATGTTAATAAATTTATTAATTGATAGAATTACAGATTATTTACTTTTACATCAAAACTTTAACTAGGATACAGTTTTATCTATCTTAACATAAAATTGTTAATGTATTTACCTTAACAATAATAAATGTAATTTTTTAGAACAAAAATTATGTAAACAATAATTTTCCCGAACGAAGGCAAATAAAACAAAAATAAACTTACTGAACAATGGTATCTGTGCCCGAAACTTAATAAATAGAAATTCACAAGATTCGTACTTCACATTCCGAAATCTTATTTTCAACTGCGCCTTGGAAAGGCGGCAAATCTTGCATTTGCATATAATTATTATTTCTAGGGACAGTTTTGACCAACCAAAATGCAGGAAGCGCCCTCTAAGAAAATAAAAGTAAAATTTCATTTTCTAAATATGGGGATCATTAATTACTATGGAACGCTTAGTCTTGGCAGGGACCAGAGCGCACTAAAATAACACTGCGCTGGACAGTTGGCATGATTTATTGAAATCAAAACAATTATCTAAACATATTAAACCGTCTCTGATAATTAAAACCAGCACCAACATTCGGAGTCTGGAACACCGGCCCTCAATGAACTTTTTACATAAGTTCATTCTTATATATTAAGGGAAGACGAAGAATTTAATACTCGTTTTGTAATAATCAAAACATTCACAAGTTCTAGAATTTTTCACCAATCTAGATTATGTTACACATACATGTATATACACTTTTTGAAATATCGTAACGTCTTAATAGCGATGCAAACAAAGTCGCTCATTAAACGTTAATTCATTGCTGACTATTGTTATCAGTAAGCATGAACGGTTTCCTGTTCTAATACACATAACATCGTAATCGGCCGTACTTTCACGGACCCATTAACCTTGACCTTACATGACCTTACAAGTCCGTCTCTACCTTTGTTTACTTCCAGAACGAGGCCTAATGGCCATTTGC